AGTTACAAAGTTCCGCTGTTCAAGTCGTGTAATTGCTGTGCCGAGAATACCGACTAACTTGTCAATCGAAATTTTTTCATTTTCACTAACCTCTCGGTCACTTTCTTCATGCCTTTATCCATTTTTTGCAGCAATTCCACTTTTTGTTTGATGGACATCGAAATATGCTTTCGCTTTGTAGATCTTTTGGCAGCTCCATAATCGGACACTCTTTTTGACATAATCGAAAGTTCGAGCTTACTTTTTATAAAATTGCTCTAATAATCTGCAAAAAATAATAAGCCGGATCCAATTAGAAGATTAAGGAACAATGCAGTCTGCAACATTAACTGAAATAGATAATTAGATAATTTTAGCGTAGCTTATACCGTCCGTTATATATTAAACGCGCATGCGCAGAAAGTTTGTAGCTTTGAGATTCGGATTATGGACATCCTGATTAAAGACTTTGTACTGTATTACAATTTAAATATGTTAATGAGATGAATGAAATTGTGATTTCATTTTTAAAATTCCATATATTGAGGTTCGAAGTGAGATGTACTGATTCTAAGGATTGAGGCTAAATGCTCATCTGTCACTCTACCTCTGAAATAATTTTTTCTGAGTTTCATAGTTGAAAACACTTGTTCACATATATAAGACGAAGCAAACATATATAAGCTGATTTTTCTGGGCATGAGACATTAAATTTGGGAAACTTACTTTCGATAATGATTTGTAAAACTCTAACTTTGGCATATCTAAAAACATTGAAAATGAGGTGATTGTTAGATTGCAACTCAATTAATTCAAGTTGTAAATATGACCTCACTACTTCACAATTTGAGTTGAAAGGCATGGTAAAAAATATCCAATTCTGTTTGAATGGCACTGAAATCTTGAAATCTGCGGTCGAACTCAAAATGCAGTTTTTTCAAGCCATCTTCATAATCCTTTAGTTTCTGTTTATTTACTGATGGTATTGAATTTAACCTTGGGAAATGAGACAAGTCGTTCTTAGCTAGCTCCCCAGCAAACAGATTAAAAGCTTTGAGATGGGCCCAGATATCATCAATAAATTGATTTTCCCCTTGCATCTTGACATTCAAGTTGCTTATATGACAAAAAAGATCTGTGAAAAATGCAAATTCCGAAAGACGTTCTGTATCTTCTAATATTTCACACGCCGCATTTTCTCCTGGAAGAATGACCCAGTGTCGTCTTTCAGCTGCCAAACTTTCTCAAAAACACATCCTGCACTAAGCCACCTTACTTTTGTGTAATACAGTACACCAGAGTATTCAGATTGGACAGACTGAAGAAAATTTAAAAATTGCCTGTGAGTAAGCCTACAAGATCAAATAATAATTACAAGCTTCATGACTGCATCAAGCACAAATTTTGTATTCAATGCAGATTTACACAGAGCATCTTGATGTATAACACAATGTAGAAAAACAAGGGTAGTTTTGAAGAGCAGTTCCCGAGGTAGTTCTGATTATAAAGAGTCCAAGGAATCCTGATTTTTTTTTCTGTCATATTTGGTGCTCCATCAGTCGTAATTTTACACATATTTGTTGTAGGCACTTTCAAAGTTAAAAGCCCCTGAAATTGACGAAAACTATCACATCCTGTTATAGTTCCCTTTAAAGAATGCATGTAGACCAGCTCCTCTGTAATTTCAAAGTTCTCATCAACACCTCTTATAAATAATACTAATTGAGTTTATATCAGTGCTTTTATCTATGGAGCAGAGTTGAAACTGGCCAAATTTTTTACTCTAAATGTGATGTCAAATTTTTATCTATGTCTTCAATTGTAGATGTCGCCATTTTTCGAGATAAGCGTACAGTCTCAAAATTATTTTACTTGTCTGGACATCACAAACTTGGAGCATGCACTGTTTAACGAGCTCCCCATCACTGAGAGCTTTATTATTTTTAGCAATATTGTATGCTACAATGTAACTTGCATGTGTAGCTGCTTCTTGGATACTGTTTACCTTCTTGAAAAAATTTTGTTGGCCTGATAAGTTTTTACAAAGACTTTCTGCATTTTGTTTTCTTTCATATTTAGACATTGCTTCGTATTTGGAATTCTTATGCTTAGATAGGAAATGATGAGAAAGGTTATATTCTTTGAAGACTGCTACAGCTTCATTGCAGATGAGATACACTGATTTATCTTTTACAACTGTAAAAATATATTTCCAGGTCCATTCATCATTAAAATCACAGCATTCTGAATCAACTTTATGTTTTTTTAGTAGCCATTTTGGGGTTGAAATATTTTACAAATAACCCAAACAAGCACTAGCTACGCTATACTTTTAACAATTTCACCAGTATTCACAATGATGCTATATGCTCGCAATCAATAATATTAGAACTCGTACCAAAAGAAAAAGCTGCTGGCCGGAGCTTAAAATGCACAGTTTGCCACATGTGAGTTCTAATTCACCTATATTGGATTTCCATATGTCTTCTGCCTGAAAAAGAGGTAATGATTCTTGGCGCTAATCTACAGCTGTAACTAACAAAGAACTTCTGCTTTTAACACTTTACTGATTGAAAGCTGTCTGTGCTTGCTATTTCTGTTGATTTATGTTTTTTAAAATAAAAATAAAGAAAGTAAAAAGATCATTAGTCCTTTGAAAATAAAAAGGAAGGGAAAAAAATAATATTTAAACAAAGTAGAAAAGGAGATGGAATTATAATATATAAATATATATTTCTTTTAATTTGCCTTGGATCGGCAAATTAAAATTCTATCTGCGGGCCAAATAGAGTCTTCCGGTTAGCCGTAGTTTGCCCATCCCTTCCCTGTATGAATTCTTAGTTTATCAAAGGATTGGAGTAAGCATATCAATAATTTAAACTTAATGCTGAATTTATCTTAAAACAGTAATTTTTTTTAACGTTCTGAAATTTGTCATAGAATCATTGTTCATTATTTAAATTCACTGCTTTTAGTTCTTACAGTTTAAGTTGTTTAAGGGGTGCAATAACTGCACAGGATGACAAAAGTAATTTCCATTAGCTAAACAGATAGTTCAAGATCTTATCTTTCCATCTTGTCCTTGATGACACTCCTGTACATTTCCTCATCTTGTATAATAATCTTGTTAGTTTTTCTTCATGCACTAAAACTGCAGATCTCTTCAAAAGATCTGTTGCAGCATTACCTCTCTGAACCTACTGTGGAAATTAGTTTGATTATCAATAGATGCTGCTAGCCTCCTATGTAAACATGATGTGACCCTTTTCGCTTCCCACAGACTCCCCACTGCATATTTGTCCTTTTTTTTGTGATTTGATTTGAGATGTAAGTTGGATAGAAAGAATTATGTTCCTCCTAAATGATTCAATTCTTAGATTATCAACATATTTGATTCTGTTTGATTAAATTTAAACTGAACCACCAATGTATTTGAATGTAAATATTATGTAAATATTAAACATCTTCTATTTTAAACCTTTTGGAGTTTTTGTGACACCTACCTTACATTTCAAGTAAGTATTCTTTTTATCCATTATTAAAAAAATACCATCTAATAATCATAGTCAATATTTATGTTGCTTTGTTGATTTTTCTGTAGTTGAATTTTTTTCAAGAATTTTATCAGATGCCTAAGATACCTGTCTTCTTCCAACTAGAAAATAAACTGGTGTCAGTGGTTCTGGCTCTCTTACTTCGTTATAAACATATGACAGTGTACCTGAATTTAATATTCGCTCGATTTCAGTTAAAATTCCTCTTAAGTTTTAAGGAGGCATTTGTGAGTATTTGTGAGCATGACTTGACAGATCTAACTAGCCTTTTCTCAGAACCATTCCACCAGGTGGCCTACTCTACACTGAACTTCCACTCAGTGCCTTTATTACCAAATCAATTTTGAACATCCATGGCCTAGATGATATTCCATAATTTTTGTAAATCCTTGACTGTTCATGTCAAAATTTGTGCATTTTTTTAATATATCACTTTGAAATTCACCTTCTTGAAATAAGCCTTCTAGAAGACAGAAGAAAATCACTGTTAAGCAAGACATCAGGTTCAGTGCACTGCTGTTATATCGCATTTATTTAGGTTGATCCAGTTTCATCCTTTGTAATCAGAGAATCAGCAGATTAATTTTATCAACTTCAAAAGGGATTTGCTTCTGTTATTCTTTTAATTGGTATTGAGCAATATCTTGATTTAGTGGTTTAGCTGTAAGTCTGTAGCAGTTCACACACTTTTTAATATTACTCTTTACACATTGCTGATCTTTCTGTACCCAAAATTTCTCTCTAAATTGTGTTAAGGTTTCAGTTACAACAGAATGTTCTAGTGTTTAATGACTGTCTTTAATGATATCATCTGTTAAATGACGCTTCTTAAGTAACATTGCTGACCGTATTTGGTTGTAGCTCAAGGTAGCATTTGACATGACTCAGAATCTGCACTGGCAGGATAATAATTTGGTAGCAAGAATGCGAAGCCAATATTAGTTAACAGCTGGAAGAAATGCTCACAATAGCAAAAACACACTTTGACTAAACGTTTCGCTATACCAGTTTAAATACACTCGTTCGTTTTAGCTAATTTACAACCTGGCAAGGAAACGCGAATGGAATAAGAGGAGACACGAAAAGCTAACAAATTAAAATAATTATTAGTAAAAATAAATGAAACCCTATACCCCTTCTTATTTGTTGCACTGATTTCAATCAATTAGTGGTTTATTTAATTTTCTTGAATCATTTTTAAGTCTTGGCAAATTGTGAATGCTGGGATTTGACAGTATATTATAAATTTTTTATTTCTATGATAGATTCAAAAAATAAAAACAAAATGACAAAATTTGTAAAGTAAGATAGTATTTTTAGGGGAATAAATTCAAGTTTTTATAAATAATTTTAAGGCATGAGTATTAATAATGGGTAATCTGTGCTGTTATTTCACAAATCCTGATTTTATGTTCTTTCTGTTATTGCTTTATCCTTATGTCTGTGTGTTTTATTCATTTTTTGTAGATGTCTAGTAAAGTGAAACGAAAAGTAACTGTTGAAAATAATAAAGATGGGGAAGATCAACCAAGGAGGCCAAGTGTATTTGAAAGATTAGGACCAGGTGCTGTTAATATAACTACCCAACCAACTGATGTAAGCATAGATGTGACATATATATGATTTTGTAGAAATTTTATTTTTGATTTTAATCACAGTTGCTACAACATCTATCAAATGGTGTTGGTGTTGGTGTATTTAATTATGGCAAAGCACACGAGGGTTATCTGCCTAAGAGGAGGGATGCCTTTTCGTGGAGGACTTTCTAAGGGAAACTGGCTCGTATACACGTTACACATGGGGGAAACCACGAAAACGCCCATGCAGCCAGCCCGTTCGCGGGATTCGAACCTCGGACCGAACTACCAGTGTTCAGCGACTTTACCGCTCGGCCGCTGGTGGGCCTAAAAAATCAAATGAATCTGGCATTTAAAAAAAATGTCACATTATTTGTTAAAAAAATATGTTATTTTCATATTTTTGCTAAGAAATATCTTTTGAATTAAAAATAATGTTATTAGATATAATAGTAATACAGGTTATACTGAGGTCATTAATAAATACTAAACCTTGTAAGCAGTTAGTGGCATGTTTTGGTCTAGTAATCTTTGACATATCTTAATTGTGTGGTCATGTGACTAGAAGTTTTGAAAACTGTGTTCCCATGCTTTAGTTAGTAGTCTCAGGAAAGACTTGAATGTATAATTAAAAAAAAAAAAAAAAAAAAAAAGTGCGTTCAATATTAGGAGTTAAAAAAACTATGAAACATGTATATTCAGTGAAGCACTGTTTATGTGGTTCTCATTTATATGTCATTTTTTCCTCTCCCCCAGTTCATTCCCATTCATTAATAGTGAAATAGTAAAATCTATAGTAAAATCTTAATTAATCATAAAAAGTAAAATCTTTAATTTACATTTCATAATTTTAATTACACCTTTGCCCTGATATTTTCATTGATATTTCTTTTTGTAACTCGAAAAATTTCTCTTTGGTGTTTTTTTTCATAGCACCAATAATTTCTCCATGCACAGTTTCTTTTTTTCAGCAACATTTAGAAATTTTACATGAAAATGTGAATAGGGAAAACAAAATGTGGGATGTTCCAGATGTGGGTTAAAATCCATTTGATGGCTGGGAAGGGAATCACTAGGAGGGATAAACTATAATGTATAATTTGCAACCAGTGCTAAAGTTTCGATGTCTCGTCTAATTGTACCTGTATCTGGCATGAAAGGTTTGTTGAAAGAAATTCCATTCCTGTGTCATTTGGTAAACACACATTAAAGTATGTTTTCTCAAAAAGAATGATGAATATTTAAGTAATGAGAATGTGGAAAGAAATGAAGAATGAATTTGACATCCTGTTTATGATGTAATATATAGTGTAGACATACTCAGAAATTTGTTTATTGCAAAATTACTGAGAAAACTAACAGAGAGCCAGTTGTTATTGCACACTGTTAACCAAATATGGTAGCTCTTTCATTTCAAATCATGAATTGTACAATTAAAAATAATTGTGAATTATACAATTGAAATTATACAATTAAAAATATGGAACGTAATTTATGAAATACATCATGATTGTCATGATCGTCACTTTTAGCATAACGAACCCTTTTTCTGTTATTCATTGAAAGTGGGGTGTCGGAATCCACAAAAAATTCAAGAAGTTCTTTTTTCTTTTTGCGTTATGTCATATACAGTTGACTTTCCAATGTCATACTCTTTGCTTAATTTTGAGACGGATTTGCCTTTATCCATTTTTTTTGCAGCAATTCCACTTTTTGTTTGATGGACATCGAAACAGGCTTTCGCTTTGTAGATCCTTTGGCAGCTCCAGAATTGGAAACTCTTTTCGACATAATGGAAAGTTCAAGCTTACTTTTTATAAAATTACTCTAACAGTCTGCAAAAAATAATAAGCTGGATCCAATTAGAAGATTAAGGAAGCACAATCTGCAACATTAACTGAAATGCCTTAGAATCAGTAAAGATAATTTTAGTCTAGCTTATACCATCCATTATACATTAAATGCGTAAACCATACAAAAAAAAAGTTTGTGGCTTTGAGATCCGGATTATAGATCATTCTGGATAATGGACGTCCAGATTATGGACTTTTTACTGTAATTAAATTCATGTTGCATTCTCATTTATGTGTCTTCTATTCCAATACGTTGTTTATTTGAGAAAATTCAAATGCTTTGGGCAACATTAAATGAAATTTTAGCAGCTTGATGCATGCTATGCAATCTGAAATTAAAATGGTATAATACATTTTATTATTTTTCATATATGTAAATTTTTTTAATTTGTATTTCTTTCTTTTTAAAATTATTTTAGAGTAAATAAAATTGTTTTCATGAAGCAATGTATATTGTTAGGTTTGCGATGTTTTTAGATTTTACACTAAAATTTTATTTGGTAGCAGGTAGCACCCCATTAACTGAAAAGGGTTAGAGTTGACTTTAAGGTACCCCTTGTATTATCGCAAAGGTGTTGTTTAGTAGCCATAGTTCGGAACTACGTAGTACACTGGTTATCATAAATTAAGGAAAAATCACAAAAATCATGATTACTGAAAAAGTTACATGTAGAATTTTATGAAACGTACCCACAATATACAACATATAGTAAGGTATCAAATAACATAAAAATAAATTACCAGACAATTATGGTAGTATAGAAATTAGCACATGTATAAAATGAACAAATCGAAGGTGTCAGTTTGCTATAGGATAAGTACTTTCAATATGGAATATGGTCACCCCTAGAAGCAATACAGCACATACAACGATGCGTGATGCTTTCAATTATTCGGTCTATCAGTTCCATAGGAAGCGAGAGCCATTGCTCTTGCAAAGCAGTTGCAAGCGTGGCAAGGGTCTGAGGGGGCGGATTGAGAGCAGCTAGACATCTCTCTAAAGCATCCCAAACATGCTCAATAGGAATTCAAGTCCGGGGATCGAGCTGGCCACTCCATGCACATAATTGTTTCCTGTTGAAGATAGTCATCTACGATGCAAGCCCTGTGTGGTCTTGCGTTATCGTCCTGTAACAGGAAAGCATCACCTATTGCCCCGGAACATGGGCACACATAAGCATCAAGGATGTCATCTCTATAAACAGGACCATTCACGGTTTCCGTTGGAAAGACATGGAGGTCTGTGCATCCACCCCAAGAGATGCCACTCCAAACAGACACTGCCTCTTCCGTATGCATCTGTTTAACGGATGTTTGACAGATGATAACAGGTTCCAGGTGCTCTCCATATCAAATAACGCCTACTATCGATTTCTAGACTAAACCTGGACTCATCTGTAAAGAGAACAGCCCTCCACTGATCAGGCGTCAAGTGGACATGTTGTCATGCCTACTGCAAATGGTCCTTCCTATGGCGTGACGTGAGTGGCATGCAAATGGCTGGTCGTCTCACATACAGACCACTTTCATGAAGCCTTTACTACGCATAGTTGACGTTGACACCAACCTTCCGGTGGCTGCAGCAAGGGAGGATCTAAGAAGAGTCCGAGTAGCGGTCTGTTTCAGCGTGCACATAATGTCAAATATCGGTAATCGGCGCTCGTCGTAGCAGTTGGCCATCCTTGGCTTAACCTCCTAGATGCCGAATCTGTGGTTTGAAATCGCCTCCAAAGTCTATGAACCACAGAAGGACTCACATTTAGCCATCTGGCCACTTCTGTTTGACTTTATCCTGCCTCTAGTCTCCTAATGGCTTTCCATAGTAGTTCTGCAGGCAAATGATGCCTGGAGGTCATTGTTACGAATTGGCTATCTCACATTTCTGATGTCACTATCACAGTAAAATATGTGAGCTTGCTCTCAAACATGGACTTTTATTCTCCTCGCAGATGATGTATTCCGAATGCAGTGCCACTAATTTGCATATTGCAGTTTTACTCAGCTACTGTTACTTGGCAACATACTCAAATTTTACATGGTTTGGCATATTTTTGAGGGAGTTATCGCTATTTTTGTGATTTTTCCTTAATTTATGATAACCAGTGTATATTTTGACTCTTATTTTTGTGAATTTCTGTGGCGACGCCGATATATGGATTGTAGTTCTGATAATTTTAGGAAGTTTTCGGATGCTGTTAAAGAATTTTGTGTGCCACAGACTGAAGACGAATGAATTTCTAAATAAGGTAAGGGGATTTTTGCTTTGTGTAGGGCTAAAATACATAACAGGTTTTTTCTTTTTTTGTGTTATTTTATTATTTGGTTTAAAATGCAGTTTATTGAGATTATGTATTTTTTGTTTGCCTCTACTGTAGAATTCGGTGCTCCTTTGACTTTTTAAGTGAAAATATATCGATGTGTACATGGACAAACTCAAGGGAGTGCATAAAACATAGTTTGTGCAATTCAGGGATTTGTTTTTAAGAGAAAATAGGTCAATGTGTACAATTGATAAAGTCAAGGGAGTGCACGATGCCATTTTTCTGCAAATTTGGGGATTTTTTTTTTTTAAGTGAAAATAGTTCGATGTGTACATGGACACCGAGCTTGTGCAATTCTTTGACTTGTTATTTTGGCTTGTGTAGCAGCAATTTTTGCGCCAAAAATCACCCTAAGCAGGCCAAAATAACAAGTCCAAGCATTGCACAAACTCAATATCCATGTACCGCCAAAAATCACCAAGTTTCGCCAAGGGGTACCCTAAAATATACTTTTACCTTGAAAAGTTCTAGAAATTTTTCAGGAATTTAATTTTTAATCCATAGTACTGTGTTAAGGTAGAGAAAAAAAAATTATATGCCAGGCAAATAAAGAATGAACCCTACTTTCTTTTTAAGAGATAATATATTGCCCAGAAATTTATTTGCTAGTCATGATGCTGCTGGGAAAACTTTCAAAGGCTTATTTGAATCATACTTATGTAAAGTATAAAACTGAACAGTGTGTCAGATGATAGAAGATACATGCATACGTATGCAGCTACACTTACACATGTACATGCATTCGTGCACACACACAAAATTTGTATGTATATTAAAATCTTTTAAGAAATTGAAAAAAAGTATGGCATCCTCATTTTTTTGCATTAATCATAATATTAAAATTC